GCTGTTGGGCCAGGAGCCAAGCCCGTTTAGTCTTAGGGCACATGTGAACTATTAGCTTGGGAGAGAGAGACCCAATAAATACAAGATAACCCAATCCCCTAAATGTTAGGTTTCTTTGCCAGTGTTGGTGAATCTGATTTACTGTGAGTAATAAATTTTGTTATACACCAATTCCTTCTCTTGATCTGTCTACATTTACATTATATCATAATCCAAGCAGAAATGGACACACACTTTGTAGTGAATCATGTTCCTTCCTTTTCTCATCACATAACTTAAAAAGTTTATTTTTATTTTGAAAATGACAAACATGAAATAAAAATGGATATTTCTATATATATAGCAGAACAGAAAAGGATAGCACGTGAAACTGCAGATATCTATTAAGTATAGCTTACTTTTCTTTTAAAGCATATACATTTTTTTTGTTGGGTTTTTTTGGGGGTGCCTGTAACTTTCAAAGCTGTCCTTCTTGTCTATACTTTATTTCTAGCCTTTTTTCTGATCTCTGAATTTTTTAAAAAATGACTCAGTGACACTTTTTTCCCCATGCTATCCCTGAGCTCCCACCATTCCCCATTGGAAAAATAAACAAACCAACCCTTTGTAACACATGCATAATTTAAACAAAACAAATTTCCAGATTTGCTATATCCAAAGCCATATATTTTATTCTGTATCTTGAGTCCATTATCTTTTTGTCAAGATGTGGATAGTAGGTTATACCATCAACCCTCTCAAATAGGAGTTGGTCATTGCATTGAGTACAATTCTCATCTTTCAGAGTTGTTTTTCCTTGTAATGTTGTTATTGTATAAATTGTTCTCCTAGTTCTGTTCACTTCACTCTTCATCAATTCATGTAGATGTTCCAGGATTTCTCTGAAACCATCCATTTTGTCATTTCTTACAGCACAATAATATTCTGTTACCGTCATATACAATTTCACACCATGTAGGAGTAGATATTTGGACTCATAGTATCATAGACTGAAAGATGGAAAAGGACTTAAGAGATAACCTAGTCCAGGGGTGAGGAACCTGTGGCCTTGAGGCTACATGTGGCCCAAATTTGGGATTTGTTCCGTGAAGTTTGGATTCAGTCAAGGGGCCGCACTTGAGGACCTAGAGGGCCACATGTGGCCTGTAGGCCTTAGGTTCCCCACACCTGATCTAGTCCAACCTACTCATTTTACAGATATGGAAACTGAGGCCTCAAAAAGTTACATGACTAGCCAAGGCCATATTGCTAATAAGCAGCTGTCTCACTGTCAGTTGATATTAAAGGGAATTTTGTTTTTTATCTGTAACTTATCTATAATCTACAAATAAAACATTATATATAAATATATTATTATATATAATCACATACATATATATTATATAAATATAATATTATAATTTTATCCATAATTGTTGTAGGACACCCTTGGTAAGGAACTTTACCAATGCAGTTATGGTCTTAGAGAGTTGGGGGTAGGAGGAGGACTGAGGGGTGAATTGGCTTGCCTCGGGGCACCCAGCTAGTATGTATCAGAGGTGGTATTCACTCAGGTCTTCCTGATTCCAATACCAGCTTTCTATCTATCCCATAGGCCAGGCTGATTCTCCAAAGGGAAACTTACCTTAAATAAATACTGCTCTTGTTGATGATCATAAATACAACAGAGGTAAAGTATCTAAAAATCATTAGATTTCTTCTGGCCAGGATAATTATGCTGAGCATTTTTTAGACAGTAAAAGAATTTCTATGAAATAGATTTTGGAGGCTTTAGAAAAGATGGTCTGTGTGCCCTGTTGGAAGTTTAATGTGAGGTGTTTCTATGTTTCAAAATCTCTTGGGATTGTATGTTACCAAAAGATTTATAAAATGTCTTGATTGATTTTTAACCTGCACATTTATTTATAAAATGAACACAAAACAATATTTTTAAAGGTCTCTGACATTTGTATGCAATTTTAGCTTTTCAAGACTCTTCTCCTTGCATTATCATTCAGCCTCCACAATAGGCTTATGAGGTAAGTATGGACAAGTCATTTTACCTCTCTAGGTCTCAGTTTCCTACTTGTGAAGTGGAGATAATAATTATATACATACCACCTTCCTTGTTGTAAAGAAAGAGCTTCATAAACTAAAAAGCACCACATAAATGTGATCTACTTCCCAAATGTTTCCTTTTTTTAAAAAAATGCATTTTTTCAGTAATCAAGTATTCATTTTTTCTTCCTCCCACCTCCTTCTAGCTGCTGGGGGAAAAAAAGAAGAAATATAGGCTCAGTTAAGCAAAATATGTTCTCACATTGGTCACATCCCAAAAGACACTTTTTATTCTATCATCTCTGTCCTGAGGTGGACAGCATTTTTCTTTGTCAGTCCTTTGGAATCATCATTGATTATTTAGTTGATTAGAAATAAGTCTTTCAAAATGGCTTGCTTTTATGATATTGATGCTATAGCATAAATGGTTCTTCTGGTTCTGCTCACTTCACTCAGCATCAGTTCATATAAGTCTTTCTGTATGACACTGAAATCATTTCCCCCCCCCCTCATTTCTTATAGCACAAGAAGATACCCATATATTTCTTAGCACAGTCGCCATTCTGCTCATTCTAAAGAGTTTATCCATTTTTCTGAGAAGGAAGAAAGAATCCTTGGTGTTTGTGTATGAGTTAGAAGACGTAGCTCTGATTAATGTCAGTTATATCCAGAAAGACCTGGCCAGTGTAGTGGAGAAGACATGTATTTGCCACGTTATTCTCTCTAGCAATACTTTCCTTCTTTAGGTGTCCTAATTTTCCTCCTGTGTTTTGTTCATTTCCTTTTAAAGCTAGAAGAGCTTAGAGATCACTTAATCTATCCTCATTTGGCAGATGTGGTAACAGGCCAAGAGAGGAAATGACTTGCTCAAAGTCTTTCAGTGACTTGGAGGCAGTCTTGGGAAAAGATCTTAGATCTCTGGATTCTCAATTCAGTGTTCTTCCTATTATAACCAACTGCTTCTCTTCTCCTAAATCTTTCTCTCCCTACTTTGATCTTTCACCCATGTCTTTCTATTGTCTTTTTTATCCATGCATCTTCATCTAGTTTTTTCTCTCTTTCGTCTCTCTGTCACTGTCCCACCCTATTATGCTTTATACCCTGCTTCCCCCCAACCTGAGCATCATAGCTCTGCATGTACATACATCAGGTTTAGAAAGAATTTATGCATCTTAACATCCTTAATATAGAAAGACTGATGCTTCCAGTCTCAGCCCTCCTTTCCCTCAGGTTCTGCTCATGGTGAAGTAGAAAGGGGACAAATGAGAGAGAGGTAAGTAAGACTCCTCTCATCTTTTTCTTAATGCTTCCTTGGACTCAGGAGACAGGAGAGTTACTTTTCCTACATGAGTGTGACCGTAACAAAATAAATAGTGGTATTCTAGGATGAGAAGCAGAAAGACCATTTGGCCTATGGTTCTATAGACAAAGGATAGAGAAGGAGAGAAAGAAGAGAAAAAAGAAAAAGACTAAGGAGGAAGAAAAGAAGGCAAGAAAAAGAGAGGGAGTGTTAGCAAAAGAATTGGAGAGGAATGAGAGCAGAAGAGGAAGAAAAGGGACAAAGGGAACTCATTAGCAAGCACAGTGTTACAAACGTCTGTCTGTTTTGTTGTCCCCTAGATCAAATATTAGTCAGACCTCTGCATAATGTCAATATCAGCCACAGCTCAGACCTTAGTTGGCTTATGCGCATGGGAGAATAATATTGGCTTGCACACAGATGTGAGACAATTAAATCAAACTGGAATTTTTATCAAAAGGAAATCAGTGCTGTTCATTTTTGCACTAGTGTAGTACACTGAAGTATGTTCCCTTTCCCTGTCCCAACCCCCAGGCCTCTGGCTGGGGAGCATCTCCAGCCTGTTTGGGTGGGAGGCAGGCAGGGCGTGAAGAATGTCTGTGTCCTATTATGACTCAGAGGAAGTTATTGTCTGTGCTTTATATACACAGTGGGCCCGCTACATCCTGCTTCACATTTTGTGGGCCAGAGAGGGGGAGGGAAAGATTTTAAAAAAATTTTTTTAAACTATAATACTGAATTGTCACACTTTCCACCTATTAAAGCCCCTAGGGTGTGTGCCAGGACATTTTGACAGATCTGCCATGACCTTAGGTCAGCAGCCTAGCTTAAATACTGTGAGCCTTGGAGGAGGAGTCAAAAAGCCTAGACTCTAACCCTGACTCTGCCATTAATTAGCCACATGGCCTTGGACAAGTCACTTAACTTCTCCCAAACCTTGAATTTCCTCATCTAAAATGGGAATGGTAATAACTGTTAAAGTCTGATTCACAGGAATATAGTAAGGCCCTAATTATGCTCAAACCCCTTCTGTCTGCCTACCCTAATACCCAAAATCTTTCCAGGCCCAGCTGGGATTCACCTTCTAGAAGCCTTCCCTGGTCACTCCTAGTCCTTTGAACAGCTGTTGGGTTATTTACAATGTCACTCACTTGTCTCATCTGTTGTCTTTTATGTCTTTTATCATGAGGAACCTCTTTATGTCTGATCTCTCAAACTAGATTGTAAACTCCTTGGTGGCAGAAATTACATCTTGCATATCTTCAACACTGGAGGTGTTCAGTCATTGGCTAGATGATCACTTGTTGATGATGTGGCCTGTGTTGTATTTCAAGTCTCTTCCAACCTTGAGATTCTGTAGTTCTATGATTTTAAAAAAAACCCATAGGACTTAGCTCACTGCCTGGCACACTGTAGGTGTTCAATAAATGCTGATTGCTTAATTATTGCTCTTATCACTTTGTTTTTTTGGCTTAGGCAGTTGGGGTTAAGTGACTTGCCCAGGGTCACATAGCTAGTAAGTGTCAAGTGTTTGGTCTGAGGCTGGATTTGAACTCAAGTTCTCCTGACTTCAGGGCCAGTGCTCTATCCACTGCGCCACCTGGCTGCCCCTGTTGTTATCAATTATTGTTGAAGCTAACCAGCATTCTCTGCTTTGTTCCAGGAGCTCATGTTCTCTGGCAGCAGAACAGGCAGGCTCCAATCAAGGGAGTGAATCTGAATTGTTTGTCTAGACTCTGGGTCAGGGGGTAAACACTCCCATGAGGTAACCCTGGCCTGTGACTGGCCTCTTCTCCCCCTTGGTGAAGCAATGGGCCAGAAAATCTCAGGGAGTATCAAATCTGTGGACGTCCGTGAACCCCCTTACCAGTCAGTGAAGCGAGACCTGAGGGGCCCTGACTTCTGCCGGCCAGCCCGCCTGGACCTGTTGTTGGATATGCCACCAGCCCGGTCAGAGGTCCAGCATCAGCATGCCTGGAATCCTGAGGACCGCTCACTGAACATTTTTGTGAAAGAAGATGACCGGCTAACCTTTCACCGGCACCCAGTAGCCCAGAGCACAGACTGTATCCGAGGGAAGATAGGCCATGCCCGAGGCCTCCATGTATGGCAGATTCACTGGCCCACACGGCAGCGGGGTACACATGCTGTGGTGGGTGTGGCCACCGCTGAGGCCCCACTGCATTCAGTGGGCTATACAGCTCTCGTTGGCAGTAACAGTGAGTCCTGGGGCTGGGATCTGGGGCGCAACAGACTTTACCATAATTGTAAGAACCAACCTGGTGTGACCTACCCTGCCTTTTTAGAGCCAGATGAGGCATTTGTGCTTCCAGATTCTCTCCTAGTAGTTTTGGACATGGACGAGGGCACTCTTAGTTTCATTGTGGATGGACAGTACCTTGGTGTGGCCTTCCGGGGGCTGAAGGGGAAAAAACTCTACCCAGTAGTGAGTGCTGTTTGGGGCCACTGTGAGATCACAATGAGATACATTAATGGACTTGATCGTAAGTATTCTACCCTTTCTTATTTTCCTCCTGTGTTAACTCCTTGCTGGGTCATTTTGGTAAGGGGAAGGACAGGGTCTTAACTAAACCTTCTTCTCCCAGTGGCTATCCCAGACAATACTGTGTGTTGGATACATTACTCTGGTGCTTAATAAATGTATGTGATCTTTGTGTTTATAAGCATTTATTGAAATAGGTGTCAATGACCAAATTAAATTTTCATTGTCATTAACATGTAGGTAATAGTAACATTAACTCTGGAGGTAGTGTGGAGTAATGGATAGAGAATTGTCTTGGAGTCAGGAAGTTGTTCAGTCATTTTTCAGTCACGTCCAACTTTTCGTGATTCCGTTTGGGGTTTTCTTGGCAAAGATACTTGAATGGTTTATCATTTCCTTCTCCAGCTCATTTTACAGATGAGGAACTGAGACAAACAGGGTTAAGTCACTTGTCTAGGGTCACACAGCTAGTGAGTGTCTGAGGCCACATTTGAACTCATGAAGATGATTATTCCTGATTCCAAGCTCAGTGTTGTATCCATTGTGCCACCTAGCCCAAATCTTGCCTCTGATACGTACTCCCCGTGTCATTCTGGGCAAATCACAACCCTTCAGTGCTTTAGGCAACCTTCCAAGGAAATAAGCAACAGAACATTTGCTGACCTATTCTGGTAGAAGGAATTTCCTCACTGGGCTTTCTCTACTCCAGTGAAATCACAGATCCAAACTCTTTTTCTCCAAAAAAGCCCCCTAACTTATATAATATTATAATTTTAAAAAAATCATAGCTCAATAGCTGGAAGGGACCTCAAAGACTGTCTTATCCATGCCTTTCCTTTTATAAATGAGGAAGTTTAGAACCAGTCAACAAACCAGGGCTTAAGATGTTCCAAGAACTGTGCTAAGCTCTGGAGACAGAAATAAAAGCAGAAACAGTCCCTTTCTTCAAGGAACTCACATTCTAATCGAGGAGACCGCAAGCAAATAACTATGCACATTTAAGTTCTCTACCATCTATATCAAAGGTAATCTTCATGTGAAGGCAGGTGGGCACAGTTGGAGAGTCTTTCTACAGAAGGTGGGATAGGAGCTGAGGCTTAAAGAATACCAAGGAAGATAGAAGGAAGAGGCAAGAAGGGAAAATATTGGCGGCATAAGGGATAGCCATGAAAATGTATAGTCTCAGAAACTAGAGTAACAGGTAGACCCACATAGCTAGAGTATAGAAAGGAGTCAGGGATATGCAGACTGCCAAGGTAGTGAAGAAGGGGCCAGGTTGTAAAGGGTTTTAAATGCCAAACACAAGATTTTGTATTTGTTCCTGAAGGGAGTCAGTGACTTTTTTTGAACGTATGTGGAACAGGGAGAGAGGGAGGCTGACATAGTCAAACCTGTGCTTAAGAAACATTTCCTTGGCAGTTTTGTGAAAGTATCAGAATAGAAAGGAAGGGAAAAAAACCATATATTTATATTCAGTGTCTACTATGTGCCAGCCTCTGTGCTAAATGCTTTACAAATATTACCTCATTTGATCCCCACAGTAACCCTGGAAGGTAAGATACTATTAATATCCTAATGTTACAATGGAGGAAACTGAGGCAGACAGGTTAAGTGACTAGCCCAAGGTCACACAGCTAGTAAGTATCTAAGGCCCTATTTGAACTTAGGTCTTTCTTTTTCCAAATCCTGTGCCCTAACCCCTGCACCACCTAGCTGCTTCCAAGTAGGGAGAGACTTGAGGCAGGGAGACAGACCTACTGAAATTATCTAGAAGAGAGATTTTGAGGGCCTGTAGTGGAGAGAAAGGGAAAGTGTTGAGAGACTCAGTGAGGGTAGGAATTATAAGGTATGATAACAGATTTGCTGGCTGAGGGCTAGTGAGGAGTTAAGGAAGACACTGGGGTTGCAAACCTGGGTGGGTGGAAGGGTGGTAGAGCCCTTGAAAGTAAATAGGAAGTTGGGAAGAAGAGAATTTGAACTCAAATCCCCTGACTCCAGAGTCAGCATTCTTTTCTCTATATCACATTGCTTCATGGTTTAGAAAAGTCTTTCCTTCTGAGAACACTGTGAGGTAGATAGCATAAGTATTAATATCCTCATTTTACAGATAAGGAAACTAAGGTTTTTTTAGTTAAGTGATTTGCCCTTGGTAATACAGCTAGTAAGTTGCAGAGCTGGGAATCGAACCCAGACCTTCTGATTCCAAGCCTGGTGTCTGTTTACCATCATCACATTATGTACCATTACTATAAGCCTTCATCTCCAGGTTTGAATCAATTAGTCTGTCAATAAATGAGAATTTACTATCTACTAAGTGTTTAGCTCAGGGTTAGCCCTATGGCAAAATTTGAATTATGAAAGAAACAAGCATTTATTAATAATAGCTAACATTTATATAATATTCACTGTGTGCCAAACACTGTGCTGAGTGATTTACAATTATCATCTCATTTACTCCTCACAACAACCCTGGGAAGTAGGTACTACTATATTCTCCATTGTACAGATGAGGAAACTGAGGCAAAGAGAGGTTAAATGGCTCGCCCTGGATCACACGGCTAGTAAGTGGTTGAGGCCGGACTTGAGTTCAGGTCTTCTCAACTCCAGGCCCAGCCCTCTGTGACATATGACCCCACCTAGCTGCCTAAATGTGTTGTGTTTACTACATGCTGGGCACTGTGCTAAACCCTGAAGATACAAATACAAGCAAAAACAAAGTCAGTCCTGTTCTCAAGGACCTTACATTCTGGTGGGAAAAGGCAACACTCAAAGGGAACTGAAAATCTGGGGGGAAAGAAGGGAGAAAGTACCAAGGCATGGCTTTGAAGTCTAGAAAGTCAGGGACAAGGACAAGAGGAGACAAGGTTAATACCAGAATTATCAGCTCCATCAAGAGAGACATAATGGACTGAATGAGGGAGATGAGTTTTCTTTTTTTTTTTGCTAGGCAGTAGGGTTAAATGACTTGCCCAGGGTCACACAACTAGTAAGTGTCAAGTGTCTGAGGTCGAATTTGAACTCAGGTCCTCCTGATTCCAAGGCTGGTGCTCTATCCACTGCACCACCTATCTCTCCCAATGAAGTCTTCTTGTATTGTTCTCTGGTCAGACCACATTGGGAATTTTGTATTTGGCTTTGAGTGCCCTATTTTAAGGACATGGATAAGCTAAAGATTATCCAGAGGAGAATGATCATTGAAGATGGAAGACCTTGCCATTAATGATCACGCCATAAGATCAGTTAGTTAAAGGAACAGGGAGTGTTTACCATGAGGAGGAATCTTAAGGTGCACGGGGTAAACATTCAAGCCTTTGAAGGGTTTTCATATGGAAGAGAAAATAAGCTTGGGCTACTTAACTCCAGAGGACAGAATTAAGAGCATTGGGTGCAAATGGGAGAGGGACAGATTTGGCTCAGTGAGGAAAATCTTCCTATTAGAACTTTTCAAAGGTAAAGTGAGCTGCCCAAGAAAGCATGGGTCTCATGTCTGTAGAGGTCTTCAAAAGAAAAAGAGTAGGGGGACCAGCCCTGGAGTCAAGAGGACCTGAGTTCAAATTCAGCTTCCAACACTTACTAGCTGTGTGACCCTGGGCAAGTCACTTAACCCCGACTGCCTCAAAAAGAAAGAAAGAAAGAAAAAGAAGTATAGAGAAAAGTGCTGAATTTTGAACCTAGGTTTCAAATCACGCCTCTGCCAACTTACTTTGTGACCTTGGGTAAGTTACTATATATATATATAGTGGATAAACTATTGTATATTATTGTATGTATTATATTATAAATTATTGCATGTAAGTATATATAAATTCTATTTTATTTTCAGTTCTGAATTGTCTTTTCTACCCACTGAGAAGGAAATACAGAACCTATTATAAATATGTATAGTTGTGCCAAATAAACTCCCACAATCTCCACTTGGAATCTATCAGTTCTCTATCTGGAGGTGGATAGCATGTTTCATCGTGAGACTTTTGGTATTGTGGTTGGTTATTGTTTTGATCTGAGTTACTAAGTCTTTGAAAGTTGATTATATTTACAGTATTGCTATAATATAAATTGTACTCCTGGTTTTGTTCACTTCCCTTTGTTAACGTTAGTTCATAAGAGTCTTCCCAAGTCTCTGAAACCATCACCTTCATCAATTTTTTATAGCCCAAGCAGTATTCCATCACATTCATATAGCATAGCTTGTTCAGCCGTTCCCTAATTGATGGGTATCCCCTCGGTTTCCAATGCTTTGCCACCACAAGAGAAGCTGCTATAAATATTTTTGAACATATGGGTTTTTTTCCTCTTTCTTTGATCTCTTTGGTGTATAGAACCTAGTAGCAGTATCACTGGATCAAAGGGTACACACAGTTTAATAGCTTTTTGGGCATGGTTCCAAATTGCTTTCCAGAGTGGTTGAACTTGTTCACAGCTTTACTAACAGTGCCTTAGTGTGTATGTTTTCCTACTGACTCTCCAGCATTTCTGTCATCTTAACCACTCTGATGGATGTGAGGTGGTACCTCAGAGTTGTTTTAATTTGCATTTCTCAAATTATTATTGATTGAGAGCATTTTTATGTGGCTTTTGATAGCTTGGATTTTTTCCATTTGTCAGAGAATGGCTCTTATTCTTATAAATTAGACCTAGTTTCCTGTATATTTTAGAAATAAGATCTTTATCAGACAAACTTGCTGCAAAGATTTTTTTCCTGAGTTTTCTGCTTTTCTTCTATTTAGCTGCATTGGTTTTGTTTGTGCAGAAACTTTTAATTTTCTGCAGAGTCATTCATTTTACCTCCTATGAACCTCTCTGTCTTTGGTTTGGTCTTGAAGTGTTCCCCATCCAAAGATCTGACAGGTAATTTCTTCCATGCTCCACTAATTTGCTTACAATGTCATCTTTTAATGTCTAAATCATGTAAGCATTTTGAGCTTATCTTGGTATATGACCTTTGTGCCTAGTTTCTGCCAGACCACTTTTCAGTTTTCCCCAGCAGTTTTTCTCAAATAG